ATCGGAGGTGCGATATAAAGTTCCACTCATTCGTTTGTCTATTAATTTCTTCCTGAACTCTTATTACAGGTTGGCTTGGATTTTACTGAAAGGTACAATATTGGTCCTGAGAAGATGGTCATTCAAAAAGAAGTTCTGGCAAAGCATATTGAATGGGCAAAGCAGTTAGGATTACCTCTGTAGGTCTGAAGTTTTTGCGACGAGAATCTCATCCCTCTCTTGACAAGTAAGGGAGTCGAAGGTATTGCGGTTCGCCAAGGTCGCTGCGGCGAACTTGCTGTGTAGTGTGCTCAGCGATATAAAAGACATCAGCCGATTACCTCCTTCCATTTACCGGCACGGCACATATGAAGGCCTTTGGAGCTGCCGAACGCTGCTCAGCCTGTCCGCCTATGAAGACGAACCTCACAGGGGAATGTGCAGGGCGGGTTCCAGCCTGTTTCTCGATATCTTTCTGACGAGGAATGAATGCTCTAGGGTTGAAACTAGTTTGCCTTTTAACTGCCTTATTAGGAAGCCCTATCAGGGACATTTAGTGCAGTGTTGTTATGTTTATTATATTTGAAATTTTATTTATTCATTCACTTTTGAGACCTAACAGTATCTCAGCATTTTCGGTTGTCTTCGATATCACTTCTTCTACAGGCATTTTCTTCACCTGAAATGTTCACTTTTATTATCGCCAGGGCTATTGTATAGGGGAGTGTCGTTTAGGAGATCCATGTTGCGGGACGCAGAAACCAGAGGCTGGTCTTCCCTAGCTAGTTGACTCGGCAGTGCCAGTGCAGTACGTACTTGTTGAATCGAAGGCAAAGGTAGTTCGGAGGTTAAGGTGGCAGCACGACTGCCACGTCACGCCTTATCTACCTTGCCACGTCTTTTCGAAGATAGACCGGGTACATAGGTTCCCTTCTCCGGTGGAAGTTCCCTTGTTCGGTGGAGGGCGCAGACAAGCAGACATGACGTGACACAGTTCTGCTCTCCGAGACACCCAAACTGAGGGCGCATCGCCCGTTGGGGATCCCCAGGAGGCTCGTATCCAGTCGCTGCAGGGACGGAAGGGCACGGTGTTAAGGAGA